CTCCATTTGTCCATTATTTATTTCTAAAGAAACACGACAATGTATAAAATGCTCCATTACCTTGTATCTTACATTGTGGCCCCGTAGAAGCAGTTTTTGTAAAAATAGGCTAACGATTGGGTCATAACACGCGACTCTCTGTCGCATAGAAGAGAAATGACCGTAAAGACAGATGTAGAAGCTCACGCGCAATCGGGGGACGTGGAGGCATTAAGTCAAGGGAGAAGCCCATAGAGAGTCATAAAGTTGCTCCTGCTGCGAGCTCATGAACAGCTAATACTCACGATCTCCGGCTCTGCAAGATTCAGAAGGGAATGATTCAGATTAATCTTGGCACCGCTACTAGAAGGCGTACAACTGTCAGTCAGGTTGCTCACGTCACAACTACGTCTTCAAGCTCAGTTTGAGCCTGCGCAGTGCGCTTGGCAATCAGGAAGTGAGTGCTTCTATTTGACTTCACTTTTCTCCGTTGAAGTCTATGGGGTCGCTGTGTCCATTTCTTTTACTGTCTATGGTTCTGACGCGTAATTTTACACGTGAAATGCAGCCAAACCTTGCGAGCAAGAGCGCGCATGCGAGACAGAAGAGACTGTGCGTGTGTGTGTGTGCGTGTGTGCCTAATTAAGTCAGGCACCGAAATCAGGCACCGAAATTGTCGTTCTTATTCGGTCTGGTTACTACCGTTTACGTCGGAACCGGTCCCCTATTGGCACCGAGTTTCGGTACCCAACCCCTTACATCATGATCAACTGTTCAACTTTGTTGGTTATGAGTGTATTCACAATCAGATTTCAGCCAGTGAACAAGCGCCGGACCGCTGATCTTGATTGCGTGGATTCTGCACTTACGTAAATTCCTCCGATATGCCATTGCATTCATGCGCTCAACAGACTGTGGTTGGCTATGCTCAACACTGCAAAACGCATTGTAAACACAAACCTTCGACTGTCTTCAGAACACAAACACAATTTACACAAATATGCAGGGGGGTGTTTGAAAGCAGTTAGAATACATGATTGCATATAAAGAATACATGATTGCAGTCTTCTTTGACATAGAAAAAGCTTATGACACCTTGTGGAGGAAAGGTTTGCTAATAAAATTGGAATAGGTGAAACATTTTACAACTGGGTTTTAGACTTTTTATTTTGTGCACTTTTCAGGTTAAAATTGGATAAGAACTATCAGCTCCATATAACATTCTAAACGGAACTCCGCAAGGTAGTGCAATTAACCCAATATTGTCTAATTTAATTATTTGAAAGTTTAAAAACCAGGAATAGGATTAGCTCTTTATGCAGATGACGGAGCAGTATGGAAAAGAGGTTGTAATATTAAAAATGTAGTTAAAGGCATACATGAGTCGATTATGTCACAGTGTCTAGTTGTGTTTCCCTGGGTTATCACTAGAGGTCCTCGTTCTCACGGTGTCATTAGACTACAATTCCCAGGATTCTGTTCTGTCACTTATCTGATTATTGCACTCAGCTGTTTCCCGTCACCTTGTTAGTTCTGTGTGTACTGTATGTATGCCTGCCTGTTCCTTGTGTTTGTTACGGTGTCCTTGTTTACAGTCACCACACTTCGGTTGTTCTCGTTCTCTCTACCTTGTGTTTTGTTTCTTGTTTTGGCCTGCTTGCCTGGATTTTGACCTCTGCCTGAACTAGTTCCCTTCCGAAGGGAACTCAACAATACGTCATCGACGCTATGGGGAACGCCTCAGGCATGACAGGTGTCTGAAATCACTATCAAATCACGTCAATCACATTTACCGGCGACAGCCCGTGAATCATTAACGTGAATGATTAACGTGCGACCTGGAAGTATATAAGGGCGCCTTGCAAACATGACAAATCATCTTTTCGTCTTCAGGGACTGTTTTGTCTGTAACTGCTTTGAAAATCAGGTAATTATGAAATGCTTTCAGAAGTGTGCAGACCCGTCCTCAAGATATCTGAAGCCGGGTGGCACACGCGAACTGTGCATTTTTCTGTCTGGGAAGGAAGACGCACACAGGCAGTTCTCGAGGGAACTGCCTGTACAAATTGTGATTGCGCCTGTCCCTCTTCTCGAGAGAAGAGGGTTCAGCGTCTGGATGTCACAGATGAAGCCCGCCGATCGCCTTGAGAGGGATGTAATCCTCTCAGACGATGCGGCGGCTGATGAGAAGCTGCAATTGGATGAAGTTTTTCAAAAAAAAAAAAAAAAGGGGAAAACTTAGTCCGGCAGCAAGCGCTCTCCCGGACAAACAGGAGATGGCTGATGAGGGTGGTAATAATAAGATATTTTCCTGTATTTTCTCAGCCACCCTGCCCCGTGTATGCTGAGCTGGTTGGTATTATAGAACGCGCCGCGGGCAGGCTGCAGCTGCCATGGCTGCTCGTTGGGGGAGAAATCGCTCGCGATGAAAGCGTTTTTTCCCCGGTCATAGAACCACCAGCTCAGGTGAGCCTTTCATTTCTTCCCGATCTCATACAGATCGGGAAGAAATGAAATACAGGCTGTATTTCTGTATTTCTATGCTTACAGGCTGGCCCTCACCAGGGCCGCCTCTGTAGCTGGCCTAGGCTGTGCCAGGGATATTAGAGGCGTTCTGCTAAAATTAGCATTTCTTCCTCTGAACCTTTACTTTGTGAATGTAGGTTTCTGGCATCCCTGTATAATCAGCCTCCTCCCATGGGAGTCGTTAGGCCAAGGCCCGCCCCCTTCTCTGCATTCTGGGGTAACTAGAGTAATGCAGCGTGGTGCAGAGGATGGTTTATAAGGACGTGGTAGGCCTCAGTTAGGCCTCCGTGGTATATAAGTCCTTTTGAGGAGGGTTAGGCCGTCTTTTGCTTCACGAAGAAGACTGGGTTTAAACCTGCCCGACCCTGCCGTGCAGAACTGGCCTACGGATTTAGGCCGCCAGTATGGGCTTCACTTACCTTGCTGAGCTACTGCTCGAGCGCCGGGTTGTAGGTGGTTGGCTTTCATTCAAGCCCCACTCCCCTAGGTTGGCCACAGATACATTTCTGTCACCCCTAGAGCCGCTGGCAGGCCCGCCCCCTGGTAACCTCAGGGTGAGGTGTGAGTATTCCCCTGTGATTCAGGGTAGGTCTGAGTACTTCACTCCCAGTTCTATTTATCCTACCTCGCACCACTATGGCTCGGGTCGAGTATGAAATAAGCCTTCACTTCTTCTTTGGTCGAAGTACGCTCCCCTGTAGCCAGAGCATTGCCCTGAGCTGACGCCCATGCATAGATGGTAGGCCCCTGACTAACTGGGGCCTCCGTTGAGCCAGAGTGTCGTATGTTGTACTCCCCTTGTTTTTAAGGGTGCTAAGCTCTCTTGCTGAGTACACTGCCATGGGCAATGTGATTAGGCACCAGGATGCTGTAGGCGCTGTGTAAACAGCTTATCTGCCAACGAAGGCTGCACCATCAGGTAGTAGGCCTCAGCAGGCTTCCTTGTATGGGCAGCCCCCAATAAGGCGCTGTAGGCCACTTCTCGAGAGAAATGGTTGGCCTTGGTGGTTCAGGCAGTTGGCTCACCGGTGGGTAGTAGGCCTTAAACAGGCCTCCTCGGAGGTGAGTCCCAACATTGTGGGACATACTTTATAGCCGCTACAGGTAGCTAGCCGTACTAGGCCGCCTGTGGGTGGGCCCAATAGTTACGTTGGTGTAGTGTGGTTCCCAACAGTGTTCCTTTGTAGCAGAATTGACTTGCTATCAGCTAGTAGGCCCAACCAGGCCTACATGTATGGTCAACGCCGCCGCTGCACACGGGAATTGTCACAGATCGCTCGAATAATAGCTTGACTCCGGCGCATGTAGGCAGTTATAGCGTTGTAAAATGCAGAATTTACTTGTACAACAGCTGCTAGCAAAGATATATGCCATGACTGATGACACCCAATCATAGAGCCGAGCGTGAGCCTCTACTACGTCATCGTTTCTATAGTCCTCTGCTTTGACCCGTCTACACTAAAACGCCCTCCGGAGATTCAAAACGAAAAACGGATCGGCAGCGTTTCTAAACTTCTAAACTTTGTTACTGCTGTTCATGTTCATTTTGCTCAAGTTTTCTTAATAAAAGCTGCACATGGGTTCTCAATTTAACTCGCCTTCAGTTGACTTCTGTGACATTAGTATACGCAGATCTGAAAATAGATTGTACCTCTACATGTGTTATTGATGCTGATGGGAAGACTTGAATTTGTTGCAGTGAATCCATCCAAACATGAACAATTGTAACTTCCAATTACATTTGTACAGTTGGAATCTGGACCACATACAGATAGACTGACCAGACATTCAAGTGGTATGTATTAATATTAAAGTGGTAATTAAAAACAGTTTTCTTTAACACAAACACATAAAGACACGAAAAACATTTATCATCTCATGGCATTGATTTGTCTATATAAAAGGAAAATATAAAAGGGTCTCCAGAAACTGGAATATTTAAAGCACAAAAGGCAATAACAAATTGAAACTTATCTCCCAAATAATGAATGCTGGATAAAAATAGTATTTAAGCCCTAAACGAATAAGTCCAAACTGCATGTGCAAAACTAAATGAATAAATAAATAAATAATAATAATAGTATGAATCACAAAAAGGTTTGAGTATGTATATATATTTTTAAAGGAGAATAATTTTTTTCCCTAAAAATATATATGGACAAAAAATTATTATTGACATATTTTAAATTATATAGCAATCCAAACTTGAGCAGTTTCCAATAAACAATAACTCAAAAACCATGACAGAGAATATGACAGAGCAAACTTACCAATGCATGGGTTACTTTTGGTAATCGCCTTATTCCCATCTGAGACGTTATATCCTTCCCAACAAAAGCATGAGAAGCTTCCATTGTAATTGTAACAGTGAGAGTTCGCCCCGCACACTGATACTGAGTCAAGACATTCATAAATATCTGAAAAAATTATTGGTAAAGGGAAAGGTTCCATGTGACAGAAGATTTAGGCACTGCAAATATTAGCTGTTCAGGGCTTCAGCTGTCAATCATACCTCTGCATGGGTTACTGCTGTTTATAGGGAGGTTTGGGTCTGTTACATTATATCCACTCTTGCACGAGCAATTGTGACTCCCAACAGTGTTGTTGCAGATTGAGTTTGGACCGCAGACCTCTGATCTCTCAACACATTCATCCACATCTTTAGTAAAAGGAAGTTATGGGAAAAAGAACAATTTGGGTCAGTTTAATCTCATTCCTTGTCATCTTTACAATACAATGCTTTATTTACAAAATTCAATATAAATATTATATGGATACATTCTAGATAATTATGAAAGGTTAGACTAAACACAAATCTAAACTGTACCTCTACATGTGTTATTGATGCTGAGAGTGAGATTTGAGTTAGTTACAGTGAATCCATCCAAACATGAGCAATTGTAACTTCCTATTTCATTTGTGCAGTTGGAATCTGGACCACATACAGATGGACTGACCAGACATTCATCTATATCTAGAGGGGAACAATAATTTAATAAATACAAATACAGTATACACACAAAACATGAAAGACAAATAGTATCTCACAACATAATACACTAACATAATAACTATACAAAGAGAATACAGATTTAGAAAGTATAATATAAACATTTTTAAACACAAACTACTAAAAATTAAGATTTTGAAAAGCATCACGTGCAACATAAACAAACTAATAAAAATGTATTATACGCCTCCCAAAACTAATTTTCTTTGTCATGAATTTGTAATTCTAAGTTTTTTTTTTTGGTCAGTCATACCTTTGCATGTGTTATTGCTGTTTATAGGGAGGTTTGGGTCTGTTACATTATATCCACTCTTGCACGAGCAATTGTAACTCCCAACAGTGTTGTAGCAGATTGAGTTTGGACCGCAGACCTCTGATCGCTCAACACATTCATCCACATCTTAAAAAAAACAACAGTTTGTCGCTCATACATATAAGGTTAAATCATTCTTTGAGTTGGAATCTTTATAATCTAATACCACATTTACAAAATTATCTCTAAAAAATTAAAGACTGAAACTTTATGATGTAACTTTACAATTCAAAGCTGCATTTACAAAATTATAATTTAACACACAAAATGTAATTGGAACACATTAATTGTTTGTGTCTATGTAATCCTTAAAGAAAATTAGCCTTTGGAATGCAAGTGTTGTTAAATGAAATCAGCTTTATTACTTTTGAGCAGTAGGTGGCACTGGAAATATGGCAATGATGGTTAGAAAGTTTTTGGTGATGCAAAACAACCATTGCCAATATAATGTTTACTTTATGGTGTCTTCACCAGCAAATGTCTTACAATTTTTTTGGATAATGGTGTTAACACTGAAATCTAGTAAGTGACTTTACAGGGTTTGTAGATGTTATGGGCCAATTTTGGTACAAATCCACTGAAAATTAGCAATAGAAAGGAGTAAATTCATGATTAAATTCATGAATATGGAGGCATGAAGTTTGAGTTTGAGTTTTTATTAGGCTATATTTGCTCTTTTTGGAGTTTTGGGCCAATGTCTGGGCAAAAAAGTTCATCATGGGGGGTGAAAGAGGCTGTTTTTCGTCAGCCAAAGTACTTTCCTCAATTCCATGTTTCCTATTCACTAACAAGTAGGCTAGTATTTCCCGAGTATTTCGACTGGTACTGGCAATGTTTACAAATAACATAGGTTTTCTTGTATGATCACAATGCCAAAAAAGATGTAAGATAGTCTCTGGTTGTGAATCAAAAAAAGTACAATTTGCATCTATACTTAATTTAAATTTTGACACCATGAACGTTTTGACAGGATAATATCGATGAATAAAAACCTCGTTATATGAATAATCACACATTAATATATTATTCCAAGGTTGTCCAGTTGCCAGATCTTGTATCGCACAATCAACACATCATACAAATTTCAACCCATTTGTGAGCTCAACCTGGCAACCTACAACCCAGTTGCCCTGTTGACGTCTCCGCAGGTAGACGCGGGAAGTTGAATAAGCGTCAGTGGTAGAGGAGAAGACTCAGTGGTAAATATTTAACGCAATTAAATATTTAATTGTGTTAAATATTAACGCAATTAATATTTTTAATCCGTTAAAACAGCATCCGTTATTTCTGTCATCCTTTGGCAGGCGTTACATTATATAATGCGCTTTTATTCATACAAATTATTTTAAACTATTCAAGCCAAAACAAATTGATCGAGGTCTCTTTTGGCTTGAAGTTGAATGAACACGAACACACGCAATTATGCCGAAATGTCCGTTTTGTCGAGTATCGTCATAAGAGCAGACTGAACAGTGTTAAATGAGTTAAATAAAGTCTTAAATGTGAAGAGCTGTGAGAGAATGAGGCGCGTGTGAGATCCGTGTCTCTGTCAGCAGCGGCTGGTCTTAAAGGGACAGTAGCCAATGAAGCTTTCTGTCAGTAAAGTTAATCAAAGAACAAAGGGAACAGAGAAAATCACTCACTGCTCTTGACTAAAGAACTTTTGTAACTTTAATAACGATTAATCTGTATTGAGAGTGAGGAGTCACGTGCCGATTTGGGCGGGGTCTGAGCCGGTCGGCCATGATGGTAGGAGACGCTATCGGTTGCCAGGGGCAACGTCTTCAGAACTTCACAGAGGCGCGACTAAACATTCCAGATATAGCGAAAGAGAGACAGCGCAGCTTAGTATTTGTTTACATTTTACATTTTACTGATACGCCGCAGTTTCTTTGGAAGATATGAAGAAGGAAGAGAAATGAAACGGGTTCTATCGGGAGAGACTAAATAACAATGCTAGCCAGCTTAGAGAAACTGCTTGTCAATAAACTGACAGCAGCAACAGCGAGCAAAGCCTGCTTTCAAAAGCAACACATTTCAGCACAGTTCGCCTTTTATTTAACACAAACGAACGAAATAATACTCTGTTATTCAACTAGAGTTGTTTCATTTGTTATAGATATATCTGTATCACGAAATGTTTTAAAAAGACACTTTTTTTAATGACGTACGATTCGCATTGACGGGAATGTCCGATCTGTCCGCTTAACGTTGCACGGCAGGTGCAAATGCACGTGATTCATATCAGATTTATTTCCACATATGAATGAGGCCTGAATGAAACGTCAAGTATGACTGAACTCTCGCAGTTTAACGTTACAGGTTTGGGGGTTTCTAAGTCTTGCACCCAGCCGCAACAGACTTGTTCAGCTTCTAATGACTTAAAGTAACACAAAGGAATTTTTCCTCTGCGGTCGCCCTACAGGTTGGAAGCGGAATTGTCCATTACTGCTGTCGTAAATAATTTAGCCTACCGCAGCCTACTGTCGCACGCGCACGCTCGCTGTTTATCCAGCGAGCGTGCTGGAATCAACAATGGCAGACATCCCAATCTGCAAGAAGTCATTTCAGGGAGGTATATCTTGGTGACTGGATTGTTGACGGGGGGGCGACGGGTGACGTGTGGCGGGTTGACTAGCTTTCGTGAGGCACACTCGCAAGGTCTCTCGCAGTCTCGCTCTCTGCCATCCTCGCGCTATGTATGTTATGCGCGCAGTATGTTTTGTCTCGCATGCGCGCTCTAGATTCCGGCAGATTTGAACTAATTGTCGGGCTTCAGGGAGACGCTATCAATATGCGGGAGATTCCCGGGAGACTTGGGATGTCTGCAATTGCCACAGGCAATTTGAGGAAGTGGTGGGGGAAGTGACGTATGCCGTAAACCAGTCGAATTTTGTAGTTCTTTTTGTGCACGGGTTCCTACCCGAAACCTGAAGTTACATAGTGCCAGTAAAAGCGATGCAGAGTACAGACCACGTCAGGCTATGGCAGACGTGTCATTTAACTTATTTTAAGTCTATGTACCATCACAAGGGTCTTGGAAATATATTATGAAGGTTGAAAAACTACTTAGTGTTACTTTAAAGCTTCTGAACTCCTGCATTGTGTAGGCAGTAACGTTAGTCACTGATACCATAAACAAACCAGGTAATTAACTATGTCAGCGTATGTGAAAGGTGGTAGTGCTTTGGGTCTTTCGTCCATTCTGTAGCAGGTCGTACGGGTCCATGTTGATGTCAAGTAGTTTCTCTAAATAACGCTGCTTGGTGTTGTTATTTAGTCTCCCCCGATAGAGCCCCTTTCCTTTTGCTTCCCCCTTCTTCATTTATTCCCAAGAAACTGTGCCTTATCGCAAAAATGCAAACAAATTTCGAGCTGCTCTCTCTCTCTGTCGCTATTTCTCTCGGCCTCACGGTCGAAGTAACCATGACAACGGATAGCGTATCCTACCAAGATGGCGAATCCTTCCCACAATGCAACGCGGAGTGATACGCGTGACGTCACCTTCTCATTCTCAATATATAATTAAAAATGTATGCAGTGCAAACTGTTAGATAACTTTATTCAATTTCTGTATAGCCATATTTCCTATATCTGTTAGACAAATATTTAAATATACTCTCTTTATGCTTTTTCTACATTAATTTGGAGATTAACTGTGAAAATATTACATTATAAAATATATTAAAAACGTAAGATTTAAAGATTTTTAATGGCGATTAATCGTGATTAATCAGAAAAAAAGTTGTGATTAATCGAGTTAATTTTTGCAATCGATAAAAATAAATTAAAAAGAAAAATTTATGTTTTATTCATGTTTATTTTTATTGAATATTATGTATTTATTTATGTTAATATCTGTGCAATTAATGTGTATTTAGCCTGCCTCTGCCATCCAGCACCCCCCATAATCATCCCCTGGTCATGACGTTACCTGCCTATGACTAAGGGTTTAACAATACATCAATATGGATCGATCAAACGACTAACGATACGATGCATCGATGCCACACGTAAAATATAGATATGAGGTACATTTTGACTCTCCACATCTTTGCGTAACGTCCGTCTATGCATTTTCGTTTACTCACCATACTGTTTGCCTGTGTGTCAGATTGCGAATGTGATGGAGCAACAAAGCGGTTGTAGCAGCAAAAAGACAGACGCAGAAAACTTTGTGCCTGCTGTAGTATATATATAAGACTTTGAGCTTTATTTCAAGGATGTTTTGTTTGGGTTTTTCATTTTTGAGAATATTTTTTTCTTTGCAATTTAATTATTTTGCTTGCAAAATATTTTGTCCACAAATGTAAAACTATGAAAGTTACCCCCAATTTTTCTCACTTTCAAAATGATGTTAAGATTTATATAAAATCTTTATCTACCTCTTGTAACAAAAAGGCTACTAAAACTTTTAATGTATGCTAAATTTTTGGTGTTTTTGTATAATGTTTTCTATGGGTTTTTTTTATAGTTTTTTTTTATAATTTCTTTATTTTATTATTATTTTATGTTTTGGGTAGAATTGTTTGTAATTGATACTTCCTTTTTTTTCCTTCTCTGAATTCAAATGTGATATAATATTTAACAGTCCCTGTACCTCTGTCTCTTTTTCTGGCTTATGGATCTTCACTTATGTATCTCATAAGTA